AATTATTTAATAGTTTGGAAAATTAGTTTTGCTCAAGTGGGTCCAAGGATTTCTTAGAAATAAAAATTCTTGGAAGTACTTTTTGTTTTCCAAGTGTCAACATCGTTTAAAGGCACACTTCTAGAATTAGTTATGTTATAAGTACAAAACAATGAAAACGTCTGCTTTGTTTTCAAGGGGAAAATTCTAAATTAGTAGTATGTATTGTTTTTCTTTGTAATCTCTTCCATACAGAATATAATTTTACTCATCTCTTATTGACATATTGAATGAGAATAAACTTAATATAAAACCATGTTCTGAATTTCAAAGCAGCAATAAGTATCCTTATAAACTTACAGGATATAAATATAGCAGCTTGTTGAATAAAGGGCTGTGAAACTATAGTTAGTATTGGAAATTAATACAAATAATGGCTGAGTTATCTCCTAATTTGTTGAAGCACATTAAAAAAAACAGAAGAACAAAAGATTTTTGTTCTTTTATTACTCCCCTCCCCCTGGCCAATTATGATACTTTTATTTCATAGGTATGTATTTCAAACAAAGGTAGAAATTTTGAACAAATCATTCCATAGTTGTAACTTGAGAGTAATTTACATTACGCTGATGACATTACTCTCATAGATGAAAATGCAAATGATTTTCTAGTAATGAAATCAAGGAGCACTGTGCACTTCTGCATGGAATCAGGGCAGACTAGCACAGAGCTTTTCCAAATAAGGAGAACTCACAAGTTTGCCCACCTGAGCTCCTAGGTGGTGGAAGGGAGAAGACCTTTGTGAGAAAATCCACAGAGTTTAGGGCAGTGGTTCCCAACCTTTTCTATACCCCGCGCCCCTAGAACGCTTCTAAAGTATTTTCACACCCCTTACAAAAGTTTGAAATAACAGCAATGAATTATGCATATATACTATAATTTTGAAAACCCAAGTTTTTGCATTCCCTGGAATATCATCTCGCACCCCCAGGGGATGTGAGAACCCCTGGTTGGGAACCTCTGGTTTAGGGGGACTCTGTAGGCAATCTGCGACTGGAGCGCCAGGAGCCAATGAAGACACCATGCTCACAATCTTGTATGAAGTCTGTTTAAGGTGCTCTAAAACAATATTTTCCAACCTACTGTCAAAGAATGGAAGGTGCTGATAGAAGAGAATATTTCTAGCTCAGGATTAGATTGTGGAGTCCTTGGTGCTCTCTGAGCTTGGTTGTTTTCTTGCAGATGTTTCATTACCAAACTAGGTAACAACATCAATGCTAGAAGCTTGCTCTCCTTTTATATACTAGTGGCATGCTCCATCAGCGTTAGTGGAAGTTGTTTTGGTAGTTCTTTGATTAGGCTGTTGCTTAATGTTAACTTGTTTGCTTGAGTTAGTAATTCTTTGATTGGGGTATTTGTTAGAGTTTTACAGCTTTCCAGCTCAAAAATAAGCCCCAAAAATAAGCACACATTCAAAATGAGCAGGAAACATAGTTTAGAAAAACTTTTATCTATAAAATATATATAAACATGATGCATACAGTTTCATTCAGCTCTGGGGAACATCAACAACTCTTAACGTGGAGATCAGAAAAAAAAAAAACATAGAGAAGATATGCCCAGACCTAGGCTGGATCCCGTGCCTCACACAGCCAATACTATGTCTTAATCAAAAACAGTTCTCATTGGCTGGTTTGTTGCTATGGCTATTCCAGTTCATAAAATTTCTTACACAGTGACAGTATTGTTATAACTTTTGATTGGCCAAATTATAAAACAGATTGAAAATGTCAACATCCTGGTCTAGTATTACAGATATTTTCATACAATTATTGGAAACATTAGAAATCTATCACTTCCATGTAATTAAAAAGGGAGAAACAATATATGATGGTCAGCAGCTGTTTGGAGCTCTGTTGAATATGGCAATATAGGTAGTCCTCGAGTTACGAGTGTAATGGGAGCCTGCACATTCCACTCATAACTCAAAAACTCGTGGGAGTGAATCTAGTACCTTGAATGAGATCACTCCCTTGCTCGTTAAAATGCATGGGGCTCGTTAAATGCACATGAGGTATCTCAGAGTGGGGAAGGCCATGGGGGGCCTAGTAATGGAACATGCCCCCAAGGCCTCCCCGACCAATTAAGATACTTCATGCTTCCCCCTCCCTTCTTGCCACTCCGGACTCACTTATCTTGAAAAGATCTGTCTTCTCTCTGCTGCGGTTCCTGCTTTTGAGGGACAGGAGAGTCAATGGAAGCCCCTGGATGCCATAATATCGCGCAAGTTCAGGCATCAATCCTCTTTTGCAGAGAATGGCTGCCTGAATTCTCACATTGTTTGTGATGCCTGCCTCCTGCTTCCCCCCAACTCCAGAGCCACATGGCTGCCGTCCCCGGAACAGACATCAGGGGAGGCTTCTACATGCCTCTGGAGATTAGATCCAGGCCTTGGAGGACTGGTCCAAGTTGCTGCTGCCCAGAACGGAGCTTCTGAGGCCTATATCCAACCTCCGGAGGCATGCAGAAGCCCCCCTCCGATCTCTGTTCCGGGCGCAAATAGCTTGGAGGACCCCTGCGAGGCCTGGATCCAACCTCCGGAGGCATGCAGAAGCCTTCCCCAGCCTCCGTTCTGGGATGCTTGGAGGAGGCCTCCGAGGCTCTGTGGACAATGGGGACACTTTTCCCCCAGCATGGTGAACTCCGGCGGGCTGGATGCGGGTGCAAGGACCTGGCCTTCTCTCTCAGTTCCCTCAGGCAGAAAGGAGTTGAGGGCTGGAGCAGGAGACAGGCATCTTTCACATAGAGAATGAAAGTTTCTGAGGTCCGTGATTTGAGCAACTTCAAACACTTGTGCGAGATCACGGACTCCAGAAACCTCCATTCTCGGCACGAAAAGCATTTCCAAGCTGACTGTCCTCTCCCTCAAAGGGAAAGAAACTGCAGCAGAGAGGATTTTTGCAGGTAAGTGAGTCCAGCGTGGCAGGAAGGTAGGGGGAAGCAGTTGTGAGGAGTGGAGGGAGGAAATGGGATGAATGTTGCAGTGCCACTGAAGTAGCTCGTAAGGGGGAATGACTGATGTGGTGCTGCAATATTCATAATTTTGGGACTTGCTTTTAAACACTAGGGAGCGCTGATCACATAACTTCAAACGAGCGTTAAGTGAATGCTTGTAACTCGAGGATTACCTGTATATAAAGACAGGATGTTTGTAAAGAATTCACTTTCAAATTATCTCTGAAGAAGCTTGCAGCATGATCAAAAAAAAATCAGTGTATATTTACTGGTTCATGTAAGTTCTATCAGATCAATAATTATGTCATTGTACAAATACAAATATTTAGAGACGTTGGTTAAAGTTAGATCTTGATAATATAAGAATGATACTGGTGAAAAATAATAATGATCCCGAAGGACTTGACTTGCTGGAAATAAATGGGTTCATATTTCCACATCTAGTTGTGTTAAAGTGCTATAGGCTACTGAACATAACTTTAGTTCTTAAGGAGACATTTGCTAAATAAGAAGTTAATAAGTAATAAGACTGCTCCATATCACCATTCTTCCTCAACAGGATGAACAATTCCATTCATAGATATAGGCTTCTCTGAATGTTTTCTTCTCAAAGAGCATTTTATATAGCTTCTAATTTTACAGTATCATTGCTTTATCTTCCAAACAGAAAAAAAATTCTTTTAGAATACTTACAGAATTAAGCATTCCATGAACACTAAGTTTTCAACAATGTGGTTTAATCTTTTTAATCATTACAACACAGTAAACATATTAAATAGCAATAGCATTTGGACTTATATACCACTTCATAGTGCTTAATAACACTCTCTAAGAGGTTTGCAAAGTTAGCATAATGCCCCCAACAGTCTGGGTCCTCATTTTACCGGCCTCAGAAGAATGGAAGGCTGAATCAACCTTGAGCCGATGAGGATCCAACTCTTAGCACTGAGCTGAATTAGCCTGCAATGCTGCATTCCAACCACTGAGGGAACTTGGCTCTTGCCTATAAATCTAACAATCAAAATTAATTAATTTATTAGGAAGATAACTGCATTTCTCATTTCTTAGAAGGTAGTCCTTTAAAAAATTACTGGACACTTTCCTATAACTACATCACTAGATACAGTCAAAACTATTATCCAAAATAAGTTATCAGACTGTGCCTGCAATGCTGCATTCCAACCACTGAGGGAACTTGGCTCTTGCCTATAAATCTAACAATCAAAATTAATTAATTTATTAGGAAGATAACTGCATTTCTCATTTCTTAGAAGGTAGTCCTTTAAAAAATTACTGGACACCTTCCTATAACTACATCACTAGATACAGTCAAAACTATTATCCAAAATAAGTTATCAGACTGTGTCAGTGAAATTGACAATGCCAACAACTGTGCCTTTAATAAAAGGCAAAAGTCTTATATAATCTGAAAAGAATCCATAGTACCAAAATAAAACAAGCAGATTCTATCAAAACTACTTTCAGAGACCAACAATATGAAATCAAATCACCATAAATGGTGCACATCAAGGAAAAAGTAGCCAAAGGCCAGCTCAAACAATCCATCACTATCATTTTCTATACTCAAGCCTTTCTCCAATATCCAAATGTATTTCTTCTGATAATTGTCAAGTGGAACTGAGAACTCTTTTGAAAGAGACTTCTCAAGGGCATTTGTAGATAAGCTTTTAGCTTCTTTGTTACAAATTTAACTTATTTAACTTATTGTTCTTCTGGTTCAGGTGCCAAAATTATTTCTACAAAGCTCCGTATGTGCCAGGAAGAAAATACTAGGTTGCATTACTGGCAAAGAGCCATAAAAGTACCTCACGGATCACAGAATAACTGCTGGAGGAGAGAGGTAGATAAGGAATGGTAATCATTGGCATATCTTTCTAGGCAATTAGAAAGTTCAATAACATCTTTAAGCAGTGCTCATCTTCTTGACCTTGGCAGTACATGTAATCTTAAGACAGAAATACATGTTTATAATTTATATAACATACCTTTTCAACTGGCAGAAAATCATTATCTACTTCTATTGACCTTGGACGTAGCTTTATGGGTTTGTCCTTGAAAATGTCACCAAATCCAATCCCCTTGATTTTCTTGGGTTGGATTGTTGCTGCTCCATTGGCTCCTTCTGATTTTGTGCTACTTGAGTCACCACCATCACTTTCTGAGCCTGTAGTATCTCTTAAACCTGCCAGAGGGAAGAAAGAAAGAGAAGCCTGCTCTTAAGATTATTTTTATAAGAGTACAATCAGCAAAATAAAATAAAAAAATCCCTTATGCACCAGATTAATAGTACAATACTGAAATTAATTTTAAAACTTTGTTCCAACTGACAACATAACAACCAGGATCAGTTTTATTATGCTTATGGAGAACATACAATAAGATATGGATATACATACAAGGGTAGGTAGAAGAGAAATTATTTTATTTATTTATATCCCTCAGATACTTAGCAGTGTAGAATAGCATTCTAAGATTTTTCACAGGATAATAGAGCTGGGTACAAACTGACTAGGATATAGTAAACCACTATTCTTAGAGGTTACATCCAAAAGTATGGATAACCACAGGAGAGCTTCAATTAAAAATCTCAATATGTGAACAAATTCACATAGCTTTTATAAGCTAAACAAATTAACCAAAATAAGCAGAAGTGATTATCAGAATCACCTTGTTCATATGTCATACTACTGTGTTTCCCCAAAAATAAGACCAGGTCTTATTTTCAGGGTAGGGCTTACCTCACCTCTGGCACCACCCAGCGGTCCACTTCTTCTGGGGCCGAAGTTCTGCAGCTGCATTAGGGCCTACATTTTGCAGTCAGGCCTTTCCAGAAGGCCTAAGCAGCTGAGTACCAAGCTATGGATCCAATTCATAGCTTGATGCTTAGCTGCTGAAGTCTTGCAGAACCAAGCTACGGACTGAATCCATAGCTCAGTTCTTGGCTGCACAGGTCTTCCGGAAAGGCCTGTGACTGAGAAATGCAGACCTGGCTGCAGAAGAGGCCTCAGAAGAAGTGGGCCGGCAAGGAGAGGCCTGGCTGCAAGGTAAGTGGGTGCAGGGTGGGTGGGGCAGCTCCACCCCCCCCACTCCAGCTTGATTTTTAGGTGTGTGCCTCGCCCCAAAACTAGGGCTTATTTTTGAGGTAGGGCTTATATTAGGCCCACCCCCAAAAATCAAGGTAGGGCTTATTTTTGGTGTAGGCCTTGCTTTCGGGGAAACAAAGTAGCTCTAGAAAATCCACAAAAAGACATCCATTTTTAAATAACCATGCAATGAAAAAAAATGGATATCTATCAGAAAATGAATGAAATGCTAAATAAGTTATGATTTAAAATATAGTTGAGCTACATATTGGGTCTTATATATATATATAATTCACAACAAGCCAATTATGAAATAAATATGAAAAATTATTTAAGAGAGAAATTATTTAAGACAGATACTGTAGAAACAGAAAGCAGAAGTTAATCAAATATGCAATCAAATGGACTGCATAACATTATCTCTGCCAACATATTGAATCAAATATCTACCTGAGAAAACCTTGTTGAAAAATACATCCACATCCCTGCACAGGAATAAAATAGATTCCTGTCTGTCCATTAAACCAATCTGATTAACTTTAATATTCCCAGTGAAAACAAACTTCCATTTCTATTAATGCAGGAAATAAGCTTGTTTTGCCTAGAAATCACAACCAATTTCACAAGGATACCTTTTGTCATAAACATGGATTGAAAAAAATGAAGGAAGTGTTTTAATTTGGATACCAGTTTGAACCTCTGCTACTCTTATTGTCCAAAAATATTAAGTATAAGACATTAAACCTGAATATATTTGGAACCAAAATGATAGTTTATTGAAGAACTCCTTTTAAGATCAAGGATATGATTATACATAGATTTTAGATAAGCAGAACTAATGATTTAATTTACAATCTACGACTTCAGATGAGGATACTATAAATATTCAAATAGTTCCAACCATAGAGTTATTAACAAAATATAGGTAAATTTCCTAATTTGTGGACTTAAACAATATTGCCCAACTTAAGGTATGAAATCATTTTGAGTTTAATACATTTCAGTCTCAAAGTGAAGATTTTGCCTGTTCAAGGCCTAAAATAAAATACATTAGTTATTTTGACTATAGAACACAACACTTTGAACTAAACTTGGAGTGGCACCACAAGTATTCTTTAGGTGATTTTTAAAAAAAGTATTCTGTTTTATTCTTCTTGGGAATTTTTCTGTAGGTCAGAATATATTATTCCACTTGCTCTTGCGGTCCTTATATTAAAGAGAAAGAGATTTGTTCTGAGTTGCAACTGTAGTAGGGTTTGGGAAAGAAGAAACCTTAGGCTGAAGGCAATGTTTGGTCTACCACTTTGGAAGAAAATGCAAAGACGTTTCTCCTAGGAGAAATGATATGTGGGCAGCTTTTTGTCACAGACAGGTCCATCACTGAGATCTTTGATCTTTTGTAGTTCAAGAATCATTATCAAATCTACTTTCAACTTTATTTTTGCCCTTTACAACTATGCCTTTATACTTTGCTGCTGTACATAGAATTGACTGGTTACAAAATAAAATTATCATATCCATTAAGAATGTGATATTAGGACATTACTTCCAACTTATGATTTTAAACTGCAAATGGCATGGGTATCTGACAGTGCTAATTGGAAAACATGAGTGTACAATAATTCCGTTCAATCTCTCAAGCAGCCCTTTGGTTTATTGTGCGTGCATATGAAAGTATGAAGGCTCTGTTGATGATAGTTGTGTGCAATTGGTAAATGGTAACATGAACAAAGAATTTGTGGAAGAAAAAGAAGGAACTTAATGGAAGCAGAATGACTGTAGGAGGAAACACTAAAAGAATATACTTTCCTCAACAGAGTGAGTGTTAGTCAAGGATAAGAAAAAAAGATATAGAAGCTGATTAGAACAAACTCAAAACAATTATATGTGTATTATAGAATTCCACATAAATGTGTGGAATGATAATGTTGTGGATTCAATCTGAAGAAGGAGCATGACACTGAAAAGAAGAAACAAGTTTTATTATAATAATTGTTGGGTGCCTCTTTACAAGACAAAGGGACCCTGACACTTCTAACACTTCAGATTCTAACACTTCTATAATTGGCACCTAGAGAAGGTAAGGGAAAAGAAACCCACTGCATTGTATATATGTTCTCCTTTAATAAATACTCCCACCTTTACCAGAGCTGTGCAACAATAAGCATTTTCAATATTCCCAATCATAGTCATGTGTGAACTGCTGATCAAAGCAAGTGAAAGATACTTTGAATGCATGTTCAGAAAGTAGAGTGATTGACTGGACAAGGGGCATTGTCTTACCTGAACGCCTTTTCTCAGCATGATGATGGAGAATCCACAAATGGGTTTAGACTGTCTTCCTGCCCAATTAGACTAAGTCTGAGAAACTTGCCATGCCTCTTGCTGGGCTAGAGTACCACCCAGTCTCAACGAAGGCGAAGCTATTGATGATAGTCTGACGTGTTGGCTCCCCTACCTCTGACACAGGACCTGACAGACACTGAAGGGACGGCTGTGGATTGTCCATCATCATGCTGAGAAAAGGTGTTCAGGTAAGACAATGACCCTTCTCCAGCATGAGGATGGAGAATCCACGAATGGGACATAACAAAGCTGCCCTGTCCCTATGGGAGGGAATTAGTCTGGGCCTGTGTCCCACTTGATGACACTTGCTGGAGCACTCTCCGGCCGAACGAAGCTTCAGCGAAGGCAAATTTATCCAGTTTGTAATGTCTCACAAACAGGGAAGGCGAGGACCAGGTCGCCGCCATACAAATATCCCCAATGGATGCCTGTGTTGCCCACGCCGCAGATATTGCAGTGCTGCGGGTGGAGTGAGCAGTAATATGGCTTGGAACAGACAGGGAATACGACTGGTACACTCTTGCAATGCAAGCTTTGATCCACATGTCTATGGTTGAAGACAATACCTTCTACCCCATGGAAGAGGGCTGAAAGGATATAAAGAGCGCTTCCGACTTGCGAAAAGCTGAAGTCCTCTTGAGGTAATGGCGCAATGCTCTGCGAACGTCCAAGGTGTGCCATTGGCATTCTAACTCGTGATATGGGTGAGGACAAAAGTCTGGGAGGATCACCTCCTGCGCCCTGTGGAACAAGGTATTCATTTTGGGTACAAATGATGGATCCAAATGAAGGACCACTCTGTCCTTATGAAAAACACATAGGTCCTCTCTGACAGAGAGAGCTGCCATTTCCGAGATGCATCTAGCCAATGTAACGGCTACCAGGAAGGCCATCTTCATGGTTAAGAACCGTAGTGTACAGGTCTTGATGGGCTCAAATGGTGGTGAGGTAAGGGCCTGTAAAACCCACGGCAGTTCCCAAGAGGGATAATGATGAACCACAGGTGGCTTGGTGTTGGTCACTCCCTTGACAAAGGAGTGCACCATGGGGTGCTGAGCCAATGGTGTTGAATTGTCACAAGTAAACACCGTAGATAGGGCCGCCACCTGCCTGTGGATGGTGTTGGGTGCTAAGCCCTTGTTGAGCCCTTCCAATAAATATTCCAGGATCCTCAGGATGGTGATGGTCGAGAGATCGAATCAGTTCCTAGTGCACCAGTGGCAAAAGCTCCTCCATGTGGAGTCATAAACTCTGTTCGTTGAGGGGTGCCTGGATGCTTGAATCATGGCGATTATCCCCATCGAGTAGGATTCCTGGGTCAAGAGCTGCCGTTCAAGTGCCAGGTGGTTAACTGGAACCACTGAGGTTCTGGATGTTGCAGAGCCCCCTGGCTGAGAGCAATGCGACCTGGAGGAATCTTCCATGGGGGAGAGATGGAGAGACCCACAAGGTTGGCAAACTACAGTCATCTTGGCCAGTGTGGGGCAACCAGTATCAAGCTCCGCCCGTTCCTGCAGTATCTTCCGGATAACTGCCGGGAGCAGAGGGAGAGGAGGAAAGTATAGAGCAGACCCTCGGGCCATGGACTGCGGAGGGTGTCTTCCTTCTCCACCCCTGGAGATGGGAACTGGGAGAAAAACCTTGGGAGCTGGGAATTCGTTGGAGAGGCGAACAGGTCCGGCACCGGAAGGCTGAACCTCTCCGAGATCTCCCAGAATAGATCGGGATGCAGGCACTACTTGGAGTGGTCCAC